GAGTTGAAGTCCACGTGTCTTAAAGTTGCCAAGGTTGAGAAACACTGGTTTAGCATATGGAGGGGAGAACATCTAGATCAGTGTTTTTCAACTTTGGCAACTTTAAGATGTGAGGACATCAATTCCCAGAATTCTCCAGCCGGTATGCTCAGCCAGTGGGGGCGGGCTTCCCATAGGTCAGAGGGTCATCTGTCAGGGATGCAGTAATGCTGTGTTCCTCAACCTTAGCAACCATTTTTGTACTGTTGCCAAGAAAACTGCACGGATGTCTGTTGGTAGGCGACCAGGAGTCAACCCGAGTCCGGATGCCTTTCCCAGAATCGGTTCAAAGACTCACGGGTTAAACCTGCTGAATTGGGTTCTCTAAAAGGGCGGGGGGGGGGAGAGCAGAAGCGGTGAGGTTTGGTTTTGAATTTCTCTGCAGCTGGAGAAAGCAGAGGAAGAAGGGGGTGAATACCAGACCCTGAAGTGCACGGAGGATCTTTCTGCCCCACTAAGACAGTCTAAGCGCAAGAGACCCCCTTTTCTCGAGCAAAGTTGGGGGGGGCTGTTGCAGCGGCAGCGCTTCCTCCGAGTCTCTTCCTAAACCCTGGAAGGAGCAGGACGTCTTAGCAAATATTCCCAGCCTCTTTTCCAAGGCAGCCCTGCGACTTTTTTTTCTGGCTGGGTGGGGGGGCTTTGCAATGGGGGGAAGCTGGCTGGCAGGATGGGGATCCCTGAAAAGCGGGCTGTGCCCGGGGCGTTTCAGAGGTTTTGTGTCTTGCATTTCCAAAACCGATCTCTTTCCCTCCATCTATTCAGCCATCCATTTAATCCAGTGTTTCTCAACCTCAGCAACTTTTAAGATGAGTGGACTTCAACTCCCAGAGAGACGCTGGTATAGCACATGGAGGGGAGAACATCTAGATCAGTGTTTTTCAACCTTGGCAACTTTAAGATGTGAGAACATCAGTTCCCAGAATTCTCCAGCCAGTATGCTCAGCCAGTGGGGGTGGGCTTCCCATAGGCCAGAGGGTCGTCTGTCAGGGATGCAGTGATGTCGTACATCCATTTTTTCAGTGCTGCCGTAAGTTTGAACAATTGCTGAACGAATGGACATAAGTTAAGAACTACCTGTATTCATGGAAATGATAGCTTATACCAGTGTTTCTTAAATTTTTTCTCTTAGGACCCCTTCGCACTTTTAAAAATTATGGAAGATCCCCAGAGAGTTTTTGCTTCTATGGGTCATATTTATCAATATTTACTGTATTAAAATACAAAATTGATGCATTCACTGCTGCTACTTCTCACAATTTTAATATTTATCATTTTCAGCCTAGGCTGGCAAATAATTTTAATTTTGCAGACCCTGAGAAGGTCTTGGGAGACCCCCTGGGGTCCTAGGACCACACTTTAAGACATACTATGCAACATAGACTATGCTGGAGATCCTGTTGTCCCCAGTCACTGGCTGGATCACACAATGCAAGATTTTTTAAAAAGCGGAACGATGATTTTCCATGATTTGGAAAGGAAGCCTTGGGAATGCAAGCTCCTGTTTGGCTCCTGCTTGTCCTCATGAGGGTTCCAGGCACTGAGTGTGATTCCTAGAGGGGAAAAGCATTTGGGGAGGCTTTTAACTTCTCAGGAATGTTTCTGCTGAGCAGGACTGCGATCTGATGAATCCTTAGTGCGTTGGAAAGTGGGGCAGGGGGCAGGCAGTGGGTGGTCTCAGGGGATCCAGAAAGTCAAGAGGACCTTGATGGACATATACAGGATCCATTACCTAGGCCAGTGTTGTCCAAACTTGACCACTTTAAGATGAGTGGACTTCAACTCATGAGTGGACTTCAACAGATGAGTGGACTTCAACTTCAACTCAACATGGCTGGCTGGGGAATCCTGGGAGTTCTGGGAGTTGAAGTCCACTCATCTTAAAGTGGCCAAGTTTGGACAACACTGACCTAGGCAAAAGGGGGTGAAGTATTTTTTAAGTCCAGAGAAATGAAGTAACATTCGGAAGGAGCTCAGGCAGACGTCTCCCTAATTCCCTGGAATATAGCGAGGAAGAAATACAACACAATCAGACAGTGACGGAAAGCGGGTGATCTCATTTGTCTTCAGAAACTCAGGAAGATTGTGCTTGGTTAGTATTTGGATGGGAGACCACCAGGAGAATTCTAGAGGTATACACTAGACAAGTTACCAAAACAATATTCTGGAAAAGAAAGTAACAGCAAACTGCTTCCATATTGCTGCCAACAAATATTTAAAGACGCATAGGAGTCAGTAAGAAGCAAGGATTTTACTTCTTACCTGTTTTGCAACCCAAA